TGTCGCTAGGCAGGCAATGGTTTTGTGCTGGGAACAATTTTGCTGTGCGCTCCCAGCACAAAGACTGAGGTGCCCGAAAACAGCTCTCGTCTTGACTAACGATCGGTAGCTGCGTGAGACCAGCTTCTGATCATGTGACTACTGTGGTAGCCAGATGACCGCCAATCCTTCCCACCCCTCCCCCAGAGCATTCAGAACTTTTAAAGGAAACTCCAGGATGGGTTGGAAGGAGTTAAACAACACAATACATGGCTGCTACTTCTGCAACCTCAGTGCTGAGGTATTGAGGGTGAAATACTTATTTACAGCACTGGGATGCTGGTATCAAATACTGGGGAAAAATATTTGTTATATTCATTGCACACATTGGGCGAGATTTAATCAAACTGGAGCACTCAGAATCTGGTGCAGCTGTGCATGGTAGCCAATCAGCTTCTAACTTCAGCTTTTTAAGTCAAGCTTTCACAATAAAACCTGAGAGCTGATGGGGTACTAGGCAGAGTTGTACTAGATTTAGTAGGTTCCCCCCATTGTATTTATACTGGTTTATAAGGGTGAAATACTTATTTACAGCGCTGGGGTTCTGGTATCCGTTACTGGAAAAAAACTATATCATGCACAGCTGCTGCAGATTCTGTGTGCTCCAGTATTAGTAAATCTTCCACAACATGTGCAATGAATATAAAGATTTTTTTTACCAGTAATTGATACCAGAAAATCCCCCTCCCTTTCCCCAGTGCTCAGACAATAGGAGACTATTCGGGAAAGGCATATTGTAATGCTGTGTGTGGTCTCTGCCCTAGCTGGATTTTTTTCAAATTCTATCTATCTATCTATCTCTCTATCTATCTATCTATCTATCTATCTATCTATCTATCTCTATCTATCTATCTATCTATAAATCTTTCTAGATAGATATAGATCATATACACTCACTGGCCATTTTATTAGACACACCTGTTCAATTACTTGATAACACAAACTGCTAATCAGCAAATCACATGCCACCAACTCAATGCATTTAGGTATCTAGACATAGTGAAGACGACTTCAAACTGAGCATCAGAATGGGGAATAAAGGGGATTTAAGCTACTTTGAACGTGCATGATTGTTGGTGCCAGACGGCTGGTCTGAGTATTTCAAAAACTGCTAATCTGCTGGGATTTTCATGCACGACCATCTCTAGAGTTTACAGAGAATGGTCCGAAAAAGAAAAAATATCCAGTGAGCGGAAGTTGTGTGGACAAAAATGCCTTGTTGATGTCACCGGAGAATGGGCAGACTGGTTGCTGTGACATTCAGATGGTAGGGTTAGAATCTGGTGTAAACAACATGAAAGATATATATACTGTATATATACAGTCAGGTCCATAAATATTGGGACATCGACACAATTCTAACATTTTTTGGCTCTATACACCACCACAATGGATTTGAAATGAAACGAACAAGCTGTGCTTTAACTGCAGACTGTCAGCTTTAATTTGAGGGTATTTACATCCAAATCAGGTGAACGGTGTAGGAATTACAACAGTTTGCATATGTGCCTCCCACTTGTTAAGGGACCAAAAGTAATGGGACAGAATAATAATCATAAATCAAACTTTCACTTTTTAATACATTCACCTGATTTGGATGTAAATACCCTCAAATTAAAGCTGAAAGTCTGCAGTTTAAAGCACATCTTGTTCGTTTCATTTCAAATCCATTGTGGTGGTGTATAGAGCCAAAAATGTTAGAATTGTGTCGCTGTCCCAATATTTATGGAACTGATATATATATAATGCTCATGTTACAACCAAAAACGTAAATGTATTTTATGTGATCGACCAACACAAAGTGGCACATAATTGTGAATTGGAAGGAAAATGATAAATGGTTTTCAAAATTTTTTACTAATAAATATCTGAAAAGTGTGGTGTGCATTTGTATTCAGCCCCCTTTACTCTGATACCCTTACCTAAAATCTAGTGGAACCAATTGCCTTCAGAAGTTACCTAATTAGTAAATAGAGTCCACCTGTGTGTAATGTAATCTCAGTATAAATACAGCTGTTCTGTGAAGCCCTCAGAGGTTTGTTAAAGAACATTAGTGAACAAACAGCATTGTGAAGGCCAAAGAATACACCAGACAGGTCAGGGATAAAGTTGTGGAGAAGTTTGAAGCAGGGTTAGGTTATAAAAGAAATATCCCAAGCTTTAAACATCTCACGGAGCACTGATCAATCCATCATCTGAAAATGGATAGAGTATGGCACAACTGCAAACCTACCAAGACATGGCTGTCCACCTAAACTGACAGGCCGGGCAAGGAAAGCATTATTCAGAGAAGCAGCCAGGAGGCCCATGGTAACTCTGGAGGAGCTGCAGAGATCCACAGCTCAGGTGGGAGAATCTGTCCACAGGACAACTATTAGTCGTGCACTCCACAAATCTGGCCTTTATGGAAGAGTGGCAAGAAGAAAGCCATTGTTGAAAGAAAGTCATAAGAAGTCTCATTTGCAGTTTGCGAGAAGCCATGTGGGGGACACAGCGAACATGTGGAAGAAGGTGCTTTGGTCAGAAACCAAAATTTAACTTTTTGGCCTCAAAGCAAAACGCTACGTGTGGTAGAAAACTAACACTGCACATCACCCTGAACACACCATCCCCACCGTGAAACATGGTGGTGGCAGCATCATGCTGTGAGGATGCTTTTCTTCAGCAAGGAAAGGGAAGCTGGTCATAGTTGATGGGAAGATGGATGGAGCCAAATACAGGGAAATCTTAGAAGAAAACCTGTTAGAGTCTGCAAAAGACTTGAGACTGGGGCGGAGGTTCACCTTCCAGCAGGACAACAACCCTAAACATACCGCCTGAGCTACAATGGAATGGTTTAGATCAAAGCATATACATGTGTTTGGCCCTGTCAAAGTCCAGACCTAAATCCAATTGAGAATCTGTGGCAAGACATAAAAATGCTGTTCACAGACTCTCTCCATCCAATCTGACAGAGCTTGAGCTATTTTGCAAAGAAGAATGGGCAGGAATGTCCCTCTCTAGATGTACAAAGCTGGTAGAGACGTCCCCAAAAAAGACTTACAGCTGGAATTGCAGCGAAAGGTGGTTCTACAAAGTATTGACTCCGGGGGCTGAATGCAAATGCACATCATCACACTTCTCACAGATTTATTTGTAAAAAATGTTGAAAACCATTTATCATTTCCCTTCCACTTCACAATTATGTGCCATTATGTGCCATAAAATCCCAATAAAATACATTTATGATTTTGGTTGTAACATAAGAAAATGTGGAAAATTTCAAGGGGTATGAATATTTTTTCAAGGTACCTAATGTATGTATGCTGAAACAAGGTGAGTGAGCGCAAATCACAAGACAGCAGCTAGCACACAAGGCAATCCTCAACACCAAAAAAACAAAATATACAAATGGTATGCAGCGCTAAATAATATACCAACCATCAATGTAAAGATGGATGAGACAGTAATTTATCAGTCAAAATATGAATAGTTCCATGTAGATGAAGATATAAATATATAAATGTTAGAATCCAATCAGGCTTGTGGACAAATCCAGTAAATGATTGCGCTTACCACAAAAACATACAAACAGGGCGTTGTATGTATAAGATGGACATCAGGGCCTGGTCAGCAACTAGGACAGCATCCGGTCACCATATGAGACTTCCAGGAATGGTGGAAATCCTCCACGGTCATCTCCGGTTTTACCAGCAGGTCCAACGAAGTCCACAAGCCTGATTGGATTCTAATGTATGTATGTATATATATATAATATATATATATATATATATAGAGAGAGAGAGAGAGAGAGAGAGGTGCTGTATGTAAACAATACAGATCTCTCCCCTGTCAGCACCAGAATGCTGCTTTGTATAGCTCTGCATAGAAGGGCAATACAAAGCAGCATGCTTACACAGTAAAACAGCACACAGTTAACCCTTTGATCGCCCCAGATGTTAACCCCTTCCTGCCCAGTGCCATTAGTACAGTGTCAGTGCTTTTTATTAGCACTGATTACTGTATTAGTGTTACTGGGGATGTCAGTGGCAGTTAGTCAGTTCCCCCCAGTGTCAGCATGCCTGACGCAGTCCCACTATAAGTCACTGATCGCTGCCATTTCTAGTATAAAAAAAAATAAAAACTCCAGTATATATACCACCATTTGTAGACGTTATAACTTTTACGTAAACCAATTAATTTACACGTATTGGGATTTTTTTTTAGCAAAGACATGTAGCAGAATCCATTTTGCCCTAAATTTGACAAATTTTGATTTTTAAATTTTTTTTACTGGATATGTTTTATAGCAAAAAATTTTTTTTCAAAATTGTCAGTCTTTTTTTGTTTATAGCACAACAAATAAAAAACGCAGAGGCGATCAAAGACCAAATCTCCATTTCTGGGAAAAAAGGACATCAATTTCATTTGAGTGCAGCGTTGCATGACCGTGCAATTGTCAGAGTAGTGCAGCGCTGTATCGCAAAGAATGGCCTGATCAGGGAGGGGGGTAAATCCTCTGGAGGTCAAGTGGTTAATTTGCACTGACAAGGGGCAGGATTGATTTCTAATTACTGATAGATTTCAGCTGATGTCTTAGCTTTCCATATCCTTTTGCACCTCCCTTTCTTCATGTGTTCAATACTTTTTCCCTGTGTCATTCCATTTTATTAAACATAACTTAAATTTCTGAACTTATTTATTTTGGATTCTTTGTATGTATGCATGTATGTATGGATTGTATGGGTTGTTACCGACATGGTGAAAAAATTCATGTCAATAGCACCTTTAGAAATGTATTTACTGAGAAAAATGGTGACGTGTTCAATACTTGTTTTACCCGCTGTATAGAGACACACACACACTACTGTACTAAACCTTTACAATGGTTATTTTGTATTCCAGGTGGAGGGCTGCTTTGTGGATCGATAATAATGGATCGATCAGGGATTTTCTGTTTGACACAGTTTTGAGGATTTCTGATGCTGAATAAATGGACAGAATCTGGCATGTTGCTGAGCATAGCTGTCATTTATCTCTGGACACTGTGGAGAACATGTTGCTTGGCCTGGACTGCTCACCCCATATTAAGCACAAAGAACATTAGACCTACATTCCTACAATATGCACTAAACAGCTCTGATCACTGTGTAAAAAAGGTGAAAGTGTCTTCTATGAATTTATGGAGCGTGTCAGTGGAAGATGTCCTAGGTAAATGGATCCTCTTATTTAACCACTTCCATACAGGGCACTTTTACCCCTTCCTGCCCAGGCCATTTTCACCTTTTAGCGCTGTCGCACTTTGAATGACAATTATGCGATCATGCAACATTGTACCCATACGAAATTTGTATCATTTTTTTCACGCAAATAGAGCTTTCTTTTGGTGGTTTTTAAACACCACGGGGTGTTTTATTTTTGATAAACAAATTTTTAAAAAACATAATTTAAAAAAAAAAAGTTTTTCTTTGTTTCTATTATAAAATTTTGCAGACAGGTGATTTTTCTCCTTCGCTGATTTGCGCTGATGAGGCCTCACTGATAGGCGTCACTGATGAGCACTAAAGGGCACTGCTAGGTGGTACTGATTGGCAGCAATGACTGGTGGCACTGAATGGCAGCACTGATGGGCACAGATTGGCAGCAATAATGGGCACTGACTGGGAATAATGGGCACTGCTGGGCACAGATTGTCAGCACTGATTGGCATTGATGGGCACTGTTGGGGCTGTACTGACCATCAGGGCACTGATAATCGGTGCCCTGATTACCAGTGCAGAGGTCTCCTTTCACCCTTGCTGGTTATCGGCAGTACTTTCCTCACACTGTGACAGCGTGAGAAAAGTATTGCCAGTAACTGGCAAGTGTGTTTACATTGTGATCAGCTGTAAATGACCGCTGTGATTGGCCCTTAACCGTGACGTAATCAGTTGTGTCCGAAGGACCGCGTGCCTGTGGTCCTGGGACGATGTCATATGACGCCTTCCCAGAACTGGACGACCACACTGTAGCTGTCATTCAACTATAGTGCAGTCAGCAAGTGGTTAAAAGAAACCCATACTTGTTTTAGGATAATGACTCAAGTATAAAAGCTGGTGGATTAGTAACACAGCCAGACAACCAGCATTGTAAGTATTAACCCCTTCTTCCTGATGCCTTTCAAGTGTATCTTACAGGATAAGTTCAGCTTTTGTAACATGGTAACATGGTACCCATATTCAGGGTGTAACATGTTACGATCAGACCGGCACCCTCCCCCCCTCCCCCCCAATTTCTGCTTTGACAGCTAGCAAGGTATCTTCTCCCTCCCCAATAGCTGTCAAATTTTAAAAAAAATGAGGCCATGCAAGGCTCCGCTCACCCGGACCGCATCATTCATTCACAGTCCTCTGTGAATGAGAGGTTACGAGTCCTGACAGACTTATTGGCTGGTGACTTGTAGTCCTCAATGAACTACCACGGCACTGTGGAGCATTCATTCTTCCTGTCAGTATATTTGCTTGCTTGTATATCCTGTATGAGCAAGCAGATATACTGACAGATCTGCAGGAGACGTGCATGGCACCAGTGATCTGCTGATCACTGGTGCAATGCTTTCCAGGCTTCTGCAGACAAAAATAATAAATTCACATTTTTATACCTGCAAAAAAATGTGCATTTATTATTTTTTACTAAAGGTGAACTTAACGCCAAGAGGCAAGACAGACTTAACAGTCACATGATCACTGTGGTCACATGATCACTGTGGTCACATGATCAGGAGCCCATCCCAACGGTTACCAAGAGACGGGGAGCTGTCTGTGACAGCTCAGTCACTGTGCTGGGACTTCAGCTAAGACCAGATCTAAGGTTTCAGTTTTATTTAGTTAGGTTTACCACAGGCTTTGAAGGTCTGAATTATTTTGTTTTACAGATATTTTACATGTTGGGATTGATTTACTGAAACTGGAGAGTGCAAAATCTGGTAGAGCACTGCATAGAAACCAATCAGCTTCCAGGTTTCATTGTCAAAGCCTAATTGAACAAGATGAAGTTAGAAGCTGATTGGCTACCATGCACAGCTGCATTAGATTTTGCTTCAGTTTTAGAAAATCGACCCCATTCTTTTTTAAAGCATATGTTATTGTTTTTAAGTGTTTTTCACTTTTTTTGTGTGTAAACATACAGGTGAATTGCCAGTAGATCTTATCAAGAAAAACTACCTAAGAAAAGTCAAAGATTGTATCTTCTCTTATATCTACCCAACTCCATTTGCATCTGAGGTACAACTTGTCGCCTTCTCTGAGGTATGACTCATGGTCAAAATTCATCTTGTTTTCCTGCATGAATGACAAATTGTTTTCCTTTCTGACAGTTGGGGGGATTTACGAAAACTGGAAAAACTCAGAATCTGGTGCAGATGTACATGGTAGCCAAACAGCTTCCAACTTCAGCTTGTTCAGTTAAGCTTTTGGCAATAAAACCTGGAAGCTGATTGGTTTTTATGCAGAACTGCAACAGATTTATCACGCTCCAGTTTTAGTGAATAACCCCCACAGGGTTTATTAATGAATGTTTTGAGACACAATTATGCACAGCTTTTTTTCAAACATTTTATAATTGGATTCAATTGCAAAAATGCATGAAAGCTGTTTGAATCGCATGTGTAAACATTTATATTCCAATCTTTTTATTGAAAAGAACAAATGTACAAACATGTACAAAAAGATGAGTTATAAAGCTCTCAGGTTATCATTCACATGCAATCATAGGTTGCATTGACAGTACTCGGAAGAGGTAAGGAAACAAACATTGCATATATATGTGGGGTCCAAAAGTCCCTCTGGTATAACCCACAGGTGAAGATGATAAGCAGCAACTATCATCATTGTTCGAGAACATATTTCACTATTCGAAACATTATTTAAGCCCCTGAAAGTATGACCACAACAGCAGTCAGGTACTAAACTTAGATACATCAAGAGATAATAATAAAGGTAAGAAATATGAAGAAAAAACAAGGGGAAAAAAAGAGAGAATAAGAGAGAGGTTGAAATAGAAGAGGGTCAGGCGTGGTCCCGCTAAAGAACAGATTGGTATTAAATTTCCACGGATCCCATGTTTTGTCAAATATCGACATAATATTATGGAGAATGCAGATGAATTTGTGATTAACCATGATTTTATCAACTTATTTTTAATATAGTCAAGTGGTACCACCGATCACTTCCAATAATTAGCAATAGCGATCCTGGCTGCTAGGATAATGTAGAGGATCAATTTTGTTGCTTTTTTTGTAACCTCTGAAGGCAATTTCTGAAAAAGGGCTGCCTCTGGAGATCTACAAATATTCACTCCTGTCAATGAGTAAATGAAATTGAATATCCGAATGCAAAATCTAGACACTATGGGGCATTATCACCAGATATGGTACATGGTTCCCATTTGCCCACAGCGCCAAAAACAGGCGATGTGGTAGAATGCATTTTTGCAAGTTGTGTGGGACCCATATATCACCGTAGGAGTGTTTTATGGTTAGATTCTATTGATGTTGTGTTGATAGAAATCTTGGACAGAGTGTAGGCAGTGTCCGCTCAGTCAGTTCAAGTGAGATATTTAAGTTTTGTTCCCAATGGACAATATAGGGGTTTAGCCTTCGGATCAAAAAGGGAAGTATACATAGTGGATATTTGACCCCTCAGCAGTTCAGTATCTTGACAGGATAATTCAAAGGAAGTGAGTGTTAGGGGTCCCGTTAATAAATTAAGTTTGGATCAGACAAAGGACACAATTTTATTGTACCGAACTGTTTCACTGGGTGGTATCTGGTGGTTATCACTAAAGTGCTGTAAAGAATGTAGCTGATCCCCATCCAGGTAATCCCAATTTGTAAGAAGCCCTTATTAATCCACCATTGAAACAAAGTCAGTACAAGCCCAGGTATGAATTCAGGATTACACTAAACAGAGGATACAGGATTATGAGGAGAAGATAGAGATTTATGAATGTGCAGTCTGTCCAGACGGGTAAGGAGTAAGCTAGTGTAGGGCAGAGAATATGAGGATGTAATTGATTGGGAAGCCACATCAGAGCACCAATAACATAAGGACTACAAGAGAGGGCTTCAATAGTAACCCACTGAGGTTTAGTGCCTTTGGCTGTAGTGTAAGAGAGCTGTGTTATCTGGGAAACTTGAAAATAAACCAGGAGATTAGGATGTCCCAAGTCGCCATGTGGTTTCTGCGAATATAATGTCTACTTATTTATCTGGGGACATTTATTACCCCTAACAGAACAAAGGACTGTAAAGACTGTAAAGATTGTAGTCATAGTAGTTCTTCTCTAGGGACTGCAATTGCTAAAATCCTGAAATCGTAGAGTAGTCTAGGTAAGAAGGTCATTTTAATGGAGTTTATTCTACCAAACCAAGATAATAGATAGTCCACCCAACGACAAAGGTCTTCTCTAAGTCGTTTAAAGAGTCGGGGATAATTCGTTTGATAAAGAGTTGTGATGGAAGACGTGAGATGAACCCCTAAGTATGGAAGGGAGCATGTAGCCCATTGAAAGTCGTAAGTGTCCCGCAGTGTCTGTACTTCTGAAGGGGATAGAGAAATGTTAAGAGCAGTTGTTTTATGAGAGTTTAGAGAGAGTCCTGAAGCTTGAGAAAACTGACGCAACAAAGCCAACAAATTAGATAAGGACACCTGGGGGTTTGAGATTTACATAAGGATGTCATCCGCAAACAGGGCACACTTGTGTTCCTGTCATCCACTATTAATACCTGTAATACCAGAATTAGAACAGATAGCAATAGTGAGGGGTTAAATCGCCAGTGCAAAAAGTAAAAGGGAGAGTGGACAACCCTGCCTAGTACCATGTCTGACAAGAAGAGGAGATGATTTGTACTCTTGTATGGAAACTTGGGCTGAAGGGGTACAACATAGGGTTTTCAATAGAGATAAAGTTGGAGCCAAACCCGAAGGCACCGAGCATGTTAAATAAGTATTCCCAGGTTCAACTCTCAAAGGCCTTGTGAAGGTCCAATGATAAAAACAGAATTTCCCTAAGCAAGGAGGTATCCCAATTGGATCTCACTGCAAAGATTAATGCTAGAGACCGACGGATCTGATCTAGTGTTTGACGTCCCCGTATAAACCCTGATTGGTCCTTGTGACTATAGGTTTCCAGGAAGGTATTAAGACACAAAGCCAGAACTGTGGTAAGGATCCTCAGATCACAGTTGATGAGAGAGATAGGGCGATAATTAAGAACATCCATAGTATCTTTGTTAGGTTTAGGAATAACTCTTATACATGCCCTGCTTTTGTCATGTGGCCATGTGTAACCATTTAAAAGCAGACCACTTAGTGTGTTAGACCAAGGGCAAATTTATGTTTGCTTAACAGATTTCTATGTTATTCCAAATAAAAATTGTCTAACAGAATGTTGTTTTTGTAAACTCTAAGGTCTCTTTCACATGGGGTGGAACCCGCTTGCTCAGCATGGTATCTGTTCGCTGATTCCCCGCTGAGTGGAGCGGGCAGATGGCAGGTCTGTGTTTGCTCCATTTATGCAGAGCGGATATGGACACAGCCTTCTCTGCTGTATGGGCAGTCGGTTGTAAACGGACCGGCTGTCTGTTTACACCCAACTGCCCTCCGATCTGTCGAGATCCTCTTAAGTTTGTTTTTAGCGAATCAGATCAGAGGTTTGTGAGTGTAAACGGACACAAGTCCGATTACACCCGTTGCTCTATAGGGGAGAATGGAGGGTCTGATTAGCTCTGCCTCAAAAACGGAACGGTGGACCCAGTTAAGCTGATCGTGAAAAGGGGCATAATAAGGAACTTGTCTTATTGGGGCCATTTTGGTCTCTTAAATATATAAATAAAAATGTTTTTTTCTGTTTGTTGTGCAAAAAAAACTGTTAATCTTCGGTCACTGCCCAAGTCTATAACTGGCTTTCACAGCAAGGAGCACATGGACGGGCGACACATGTCAAACAACAAAACAGAAAAATTCCCAACTCTAACTTGCCAGCCAGCCTGCAAACAAACCGAATTTACCTGTCTAGCAGTATGCGTTAAAAACAAGGGTTTAGTTAGATTCTGTTTTGTTGTTTGACATGCGTCGCCCGTCCACGTGTGCTCCTTTCTGTGAAGGCCAGTTATAGACCGGGGCAGTGACCGTTTTTTGTACTGTTGAATTTCTGGTCAATGGGGCGCACTGGACAACCTAACTGCCATTTTGCTACATGTCGGGTGCACTCCTGTACCTTTAAGGAGGGGTGGGCTCCCTCAGGTCCATCTGCCCTTGGTCTATCCATTAAATACATGTGCCTCTACTATTTAAATTTGTAGAGTTAGCAACTACAGAATACTGGGGTGTCATGATGAGGCTCTGTAGCTTACGCACGTATTTGCAAATGTGTGCTAACTAAACCCCTGTTTTTAACACATACTGCTAGACAGGTAAATTTGGTTTGTTTGCAGGCTGGTTGGCAAGTTAGAGCTGGGAATTTTTCTATTTTGTTGTTTGACATGCGTCGCCCGTCCATGTGCTCCTTGCTGTGAAGGCCAGTTATAGACTTAGGCAGTGGTCATTTTTTGTAATGTTATTCCCAGTTATCTCTGAGAAATTACAAAACCTTTTCTGTTACAGTATGTAATAATTATAATATATATATATAATATAGAGAGGGGGGGGTTATTGTAGTGCTGTCCTGGGGTGACAACACTGCTTCTCCATAGATACAGTACAGTGAGCGAACATCGTCACCCCTAAAGAGGTAGTGTGTTACAGGAAGAATCATCAGGTCAAAATAAAGAGGAAAAATCTTGTGAAATGTTCAGCTTTTTGTTGTTGGATTTAGATATGCTTTAATTTGATCAGAGATTGATTCATACATTTGTTTAAGCTATTTCCAAAAGGATAAATAACTAATGTGAGTACGTAATAAAACAGTTGCATACTTATTTTCCGCAGGATGTTCTGGATGGTCTGCTGGATCTTGACTCATCTGTTGCAAACTCTGTAGATTTTCTACAGTTTGTTAGTGGTAGTAAAACAGTTCCAGGCTTTGTTCCATTGGCACATAGATATGGAGGTCACCAGGTAAGCATACAGCCTTCATACAGGTTTACACATTGCTCATTAGGTTTTTTTTAGCTCTTTCAAGTAATTGAGGGATTGCAGTTAAAGACGGACTGTTCCTTCAAAAGGAAGTCAGAGGGCAAGGGGCTAGTGTGTCCTGTGTTCTCCCTGCAGATAATCTTTCCCTCATTATTGACTTGCCATGTCTTGCTCTGAAGGGCCATTTTGTTAGAGAAAGAGTTTTGCTTCTTCATGTCAGAAAAACAGGAAGAAGCATATGATCAAATAATCTCTCTTCAAATCTGATGAGCTGGGGGGGCTGTAGGTACAGGAGTGCCTAGACCAGCCTTTTTCAACCAGGGTGGCCACGCAAAATGCCTAAAATTGCCACAAAGATATATACAAGCCAGAGGGTGGATCAAGTCTGTCTTTTTGTTATACTAACCCATAGGTTTTGATTTTGCACTATTACAACCCTCAAGCTGCCTGAGTACTAGCAACCAATGATAAGGCAGACAATGGGTACCTGCACAGCATTTTGTTTTCCCCTGCACCACTGAGGTCACATTAGCTGAGTGAGGGAGAGAAATTGAGTGAGAAGATGAACATTGGAGTACTAGTCAGTATCAGTGGGCAAAGGTGAATTTGCTTTAGAAGAATAAATCACTTCCAATGTTGGGTGTCCTATGCATGTGGATGTTGCTGCATTATGTAAAATTTTTTAGTTTTTACATTTTAGAATGGGGTACCTTGAGACTGTACATAATTTTAAAGGGTGACTTGATTGAAAAAAGGCTGAGAAACACATACCAGGAAGTGCACATATTTATCATGAGGAATTCCAGACAAAAAGTAATTTTGTCAGGATATTTAGTCATAATTAGCATTTCTAAATGTTTCCTATAACAGCAAATCTTCACTTTTCAAATTTTAAGTCCATTAAAGTGATATTTGGCTAGGCAGAAGTGTGCACCTTTAAACACAACTCATACATGTCCGCTTTGGTATTTTTATCATTACATGTTCCTTTTAACCTTCTATTTAGTAAATCACAGACACTAATTAACTACCACTACCACTACTACCAATAGTTTTAATCACCTCAATACTGCTGTACAAATATATATACGGCCTCATATTAAGGTGGTTATACCAGAATCATGGTTGAGGTGATTTCTTATCAGATAAAAGTGATCTGAGTGACTATACAACCAATGGATCACTTTTCCAGGCTGCAGAAGGGGATCTTTTAAAGCGTTGCCTAAGGATAATTTAATGTACGGTAGTTTGTTGCCATTCCACTGTCGTGAAAATTTTAAAGCATGACATGTTTGGTATCTACTTACTCAGCAAAACATCATCTTTTGCATTGCTGGGATGCTGGTAGGTTGCCTTCAATGAGGACAGGCATTTCTACTCAGGCTGTGGCAGCTTTCTAAAGCAAACAAACTGAAGGTCTCTGTACTAACTATTCAATGTTAGTACAGTGATCTCCCCACTGTGCTATTGTGTTCTGACAGGGGGACCACCCTCTCCCCATCCAGAATACTCCAGTTAGCGCTGAAAGTGCTGATCGGATGCTGATCGACTGCTAGTTTTCCAGCATGCTTGTTCGAGAGAAGCCAGTCAGTAGCTACTGTACCGACTGATTTCAGCTGATATTGGGCCCGAGTATACGGAGCTTAAGACTAGGCACTCCTTTTGTTTTGATGCACCTTGAATCTGTTTTGATGAGTTCAGATAAATGTTCAGTTGGGCTGTAACCACTCTGATTAGGCATTTTGCATAATCCATCAAAGTGTTTTTTTTTTCCCTTAATAGTTTGGCATTTGGGCTGGTCAGTTGGGAGATGGAAGAGCACATTTAATAGCCACTTATATTAACAGGTATTATATCCTTATGCCACAATATTTCTCTCATTTCTATCACTTTAATAAGAGATACATTCTTTTTGTTATGTTTCCTAAAATCCTGGTTTTGTTATCTCTTTGAATTGCTGTTTTGTAGGTTTGGTGAGAGATGGGAACTTCAATTAAAAGGATCAGGGAAAAACACCCTATTCCAGGTAATAATAGCACACCTGCTTCCGCAATCAGATTAAAATGTGTGCATATCATTACATATACAGATTCTGTTTTTCTTAAAATGGTTATGTGTGTCTTTGATCCTACTATACACTGTCCTAATTTACCTCCCACTGTATACAAATGTAGAATGGTAATAATGCTGGTATTTCATCTGCAGGGACGGTGATGGGAGAGCTGTGTTCCGTTCTTCTGTAAGAGAGTTCCTGTGTAGTGAGGCCATGCATTACTTGGGGATTCCCACCAGCAGGGTTGCCAGGTATAAATTTGAGTTTTAAGGAAAATTATAGTGTATTTCATTCAAGTGTACGTGTGTTCTTCTCATTTACTTTCACTTAAAATAGTTTGTTTTGTTGGTTTATTCCTTCGATAACATGAGCGCCCGCTGGGTGTGCTGTGTACACGCCAACGTGTATAGAAAAACCTTCAGAGCAATGAGATCTCCTAAATAAATGTGCAGCTAGCATATAATGTGTTCCCACATATAGAAAGTAAATAAAGTAAAAAAAATGCAGCGTAACAATAAAAAATTATAATAGTGCTTACAATATTATACATGCGTGTTTAAATGGTGATGATCAAACTGCTGTGCTCATGAGGATCAATATATGCTACCCATGATATCTTCCAATGCATACATATACGTAAACTTCCATAGAGACTGCACAAAACCAGTGCTATAAATGTACCATAGATAGTGCACCCTTTAAATCTGCTGTACTTAAAGTGAACCAGTGTAATCACGCTGCTGTATAAACGTGTAAGGGGTGACACAGGAGGACCATACGTTTATGCAGCAGTGTGATTACACTGGTTCACTTTTACTACAGTGGATTTAAAGGGACAGATCACTATTAAGGATTGTGTATTTTGTATTTGTGTGCACTATCTATGGTACATTTATAGCACTGGTTTTGTGCAGTCTCTATGGGAGTTTATATGTATGCATTGGAAGATATCAGAAGTAGCATATATTGATCCTCATGAGCACAGCAGTTTGATCATCACTATTTATACATGCACGTATAAGATTGTAAGCACTATTATAATTTTTTTATTGTTGCATTTTATTTTTTTTACTTTATTTATGTGCTGTATACACCTCAGCTATATACAGTATACAGCACTGTGTTCTAAGTGTGAGACAAGATCTTCCTGTCTCACACCTGGAACAAAATAGCTTCAGGCTGAATTGCACTCAGCCATTCATAGGCAGCTTTGTATTCTATCAATGAATATGAAGCATTCTCTGACTGCCTCTGAATGGCTGAGTGCTGCTAAGCTTGGCTCTGTGTTGTTCAGAAAGATCTTGTCTCACCCGGGACACAGCGCTGTATACTGTATGTAACTGAGACTACATACAGTTTATATAGTGTACCCAGTGGGCACACATCTTATTGAAGGAAATAGTTTAAAGTCAAATTCAGCCTAGGTTCACACTGTGAACTGCATGTGAATTGCACAGGAATCACACTGCATCCGCATCAATGGCTCAAATCGCACTGCATCCTCATCAAATAGGTACGGGCAGCTTCTTTTTTTTTTTTGCAATGGAACCGTATCGCATGGGTGTTTAGATCCATAAAATCCAGTTCAGACAAACAAACTGCATTTGTGAGCTGCTTTTGGGGTGTCGTTAACTTTCCATTGTTACCTGCAGCAGATCGCATAACATAATGAGATTACTATGCACTGCGGGAAATGCTCAGGAATCGCTGCATTTCATCCACTGCATCATTCTGAACCAGGGCTTAACCTGGACATCAGCTTTAATGCCCAGGCCCCCTCTTGCCTACTAGCCTTTCCTACACTGTTCTCTTCACTGTCAGAACTGAAGTACCTATTGTTTTTGGCTATTGGGATCATGTGATTTATTCCCTTCTTTCCATGTGACAGTTTTGGTGTTTGGTGATTTGTCCAGCCCTGTCACATGGGGTGGTGGTAGAGGTCTAAAAAAATTGTCTTTACACATCAAAGACCAACTCCAGGAACTAGAGAAATCTACCCTCTCAATGGAGATGAAGATGTACTGGTAACATGTTGATCTTTCCTTTGCATGCACCATTCGCTGGTTACTTAAACACCGACGTGCTGTGGTGGTCCATGTCATGAACACAGTATGTGTGAACAGTATGTATCGAAGAATATAAACTAGCACATATTGTAGATCGATTACTAAATCCCAAAAGCATACGCATGGAGATGAAGTGGCTGTTCTGGGGCCCAGTAATTCCTCCATAGAGAAAAGCTCCTATGTGTGTGTTTCCTTACATCTAAGGTATGAATCTATGAATTAAACTTTTAATTTGCTGGAATTGATTTGTTTTAATTTTTATGACAGTCTTATCGTAAGCAATGAAGCAGTTTGGAGAGACCAGTTCTACAATGGAAATGTGAAGAAAGAACGGGGTGAGATTTAGTACAGAGTGGTTTGTATTTTAACAGAATAATTGTGGCATCAAAACTGGAAGATAAACTTTAAGGGCAAAATATTCTTTTCAAATATATTGACATATATTTGAAATACTACAATTTTGGCTGTATTCAATATACTTCAAAATATATTTCAATATGAACTCCTTATGGATATGTGCATGCTTTGTGTCCCCAGACTGTCTTTTCAGGACTACTTGTAGGAGGTCACAAAAAGAATGACAGTACTGTAACTGAACTAAGGGGGGATTTACTAAAACTGGAGCACTCAGAATCTGGTGCAGGTGTGCATGATAGCCAATCAGCTTCTAACTTTAGCTTGTTCAGTTAAGCTTTGACAATAAAACCTGGAAGCTGATTGGTTTCTATCCAGTTTTTAGTAAAAGTGTTGTCTTCTGTTTCCCATAGGGGAGACTTCCCTTCACTTCCTGTCCTATAGCCAAAATAGGAAGTGAAAGGAAAACCATACAAAGTGAAGGAATTCCTGGTTGTCAGCAGGGTTTCCAAAACTAGTGTCCCCATTGAAAGATGTCCCCTCTCTTCCTGTTCTGGGGACAACTCAAAATTTGGGATTGGGATAATCTCTCTAAGGGAGGCATAGGCAGCAATAAAAACTTGATAGGTGTCCTAATCCCTCTCCACTCTAAAACTAAAAAAGGTTTGCTTTAAGTTACACTGTACTTCTAATGTTCTTTTTATACAGCATATTACATTCCTCTTGACTGGTAGAAACAGTTGATATGTATTCATTTAGTCTATTTATGTTTTATGCAGGAGCAATGGTATTAAGGGTTGCAAAATCATGGTTTCGGATTGGTTCACTTGAAATTTTAGCCAATTATGGGGAATTTAACCTGCTAAGGTAAGGCTTCATCAATAACCAAAACAGACTAGGGTAGATTTACTAAGACCGGAGCACTCAGAATCTGGTGCAGCTGTAAATGCTAGCCAATAGGCTTCTAACTTTAGCTTGGTCAATTAGGCTTTCACAATAAAACCTGGAAGCTATTTGGTTTCTATGCCGAGCTGCACCAGGTTTTGCACCATGAAGTTTTAATAAACATCCGCTTATGACTTACAGGCTGTTGCGTACACATAAATTTGACAGGTACCCTTTCCCACTTCCTCTATGATTGCCTAGGGCGATTGGAAGTGGAAGTTGTCCTCCTCCCTCCCGGTAGTCTTCTGGGACACATGACAGGTCCTAGAAGACTACGGGACCATTCACAAAGCCCAGCGCTACTCATGCATGTGCAGTGAGCAGTGAAGCCACAGGCTGTCACAACCAGGTTCCCACACTGAAGATGCCGGCGCCGGAAACACAGGGTGACACGGGCTGTGGGTGGGGGGACACCATGGGATTGAGGGACGGGTAAGTATCTGTTTTTTTTAAAAGTCAGCAGCTACAGTTTTTGTAGCTGCTGACTTTTATTTATTTATTTTTTATTTTCAAATCTACACGTTCATGGCCATCTTAACTTTTCAAATTCGGTCAAATTTTTTTGAACTTGAATTCGGTTGAAATCCATTTTGACTGACTTTTCGAATGTTGTTGAATCAATTTTGAATTTGGTTGAACCAATTTAGAATGTGAACAACTTTCTGAATTTGGTCGAAATGTTTTCGAATTGAATTCGAATACGAATTACCGAAACGAATCCTGAAAACGAATTTACTGAATCCAACTACACAAAATTTTGTTCGATTTCAAAACGAAACAAGTTTTATTGTTTTTCACATGTCTACTGTGAATGAATGACACAGCCACGTGGTGTATGGTGGTCCAGGACTTGGCTATGCTGTTTTGCAGGGCTGCCTAAATTAAAATGCTAGCTGAACAAAGTGGCAAATTGTTTGGCAGTAAGACAAGTCGCACATACAGTATATATTTCAGTTGTGTTTTCAGCTATGTGACAAAAAAAAGAAAAAGGAAAATTTTATCAGCATTTTATCATTTGATAGTTTGTTAATGCTACACATGTTCCATTCTTTCAGGCAGTTAGTGGATTTCATCATTAAGGAGCACTTCCCATCCATCAACACAACTGATCCTGATAGACTATTGGTGAGTTTACAGGATTGACCATTTTGAAGTCAAAGTTCAAGTGTTTGGTTTTCAAGACAGATACTTGCTTGGGTTATTGTATAAACCATGTTACATTTCTTGGTAAAATTGTTAAAAGGAAGATTCCTGCCAGCACTAAAGTATCACGTTTTGATTGTTTTGTAATATGTTAATGATTGGCCATATGACTATTACCTGTTCAATTATAATGCTCAAACCCCAAAGTGTTCTGCTCTGACATCCTCTCTGTTCCCTCAGTGTTACAGTATTCTTCGATTCAAGTGAATGCAGAGGCTTATTAGATAGAATCATGACAGTTACTTTCTACTTGGGTTGGATCATAGAATAGTAGCACCTGTGTGGCTGTGGGATCATAGTCCAGGAATCAGCGAGATAATGGAAGCAAAACTAGGGTGTGTTTGTGAACACAGTGATATTCAGTGATATTCAGACAGCACTAATTTGCACTAGGCGGTGCAGGAAAGCATGCAAAATTCCAAATTTTCCTGCACCGCATGAAAACTTGTTGCCTTCTGCAAACTCACATCCCCACTCCCCCTGGCAAACATACATGTATTCACGCCTGCCAAAATGCATAGTACCACACTACCATGCAGTTTGGTGTGGTGCTGTGGCAGCACCCAAATATTGCAGAGTTCATCTTTTAAGCTTTAACATTTCTAACAGCATCTGTTTGCAACGCAAGGTCATCAGCTCACTTCCCCCCCCTCTTATTTCCTGAGAAACGATGTGTTCCAGTCTGCAGCTGGGACCCTTATTTTCAGCTGAAGATAGTTTATCTAAATATGAAACTGCAAGGCCATATCCTGAACTGCTTAGAAAGTCTTTTAAATGTACAGAAAGTGAAAGAGGAAATATATGCATTGTGATGTAATTGCTGATATGTATACTCTGTAAGATGCTTTTCAAGGCACTTAGCTTACAGACACTGGTCTAGCTAAGTCCCAGTTGGTAAATAAAAGTTTGTTTTCCTCAAGTTCGTGTCCGGAGTTTTACCTGGAATTCCCAAAGTGGCCACTACAGTGTGAATTTAAATATTGTGCCTGCACCATTTTAGTGTGTTTTATCTGTGTAGGGTAGCCTAATGAAATTAATGGGCTGCGCTAAAATGCGACTCATGTGAATGAGCAAAAAAGCTTGTACTCTCAGAATCACTTCATGGTGTTAATAAGCCCTAATGTATCATTGTTGGATAGACTATTCCTATATGTGTAAGTCGTATTTTCCTTAGAAAAAAAAAAAAGTCTCTAGTTACTCAAGTAATTATTAGTCTGTATAACCAAAGATATCATTACAGGCATTTTTCTCTACCGTGGTTTCTCAGACTGCAGATATGATTGCAGGATGGATGTCTGTAGGATTTGCACATGGTAAGTTTAAATTATTATTATACAGGATTTATATTGCGCCAACAGTTTGCGCAGCACTTTACAAAATGAAGGCAGACATTACAGTTACAATACAATTTGGTACAAGAGGAACCAGAGGGCCCGGCTTGTTAGAGCTTACAATCTAGGAGATACTATTATGTTTAGTGTTAGGGCACCCACAGACATGAGATGACAGTTGTCCAGTCCAGTCATAACTAGGATCATACAGTATGTCTGTGGGTGTCATTGAAAACTAAGACCGGCCATACATGGGTTGAAATTCGACCGATTTTTCGCCTGAAAATCGGACCTAAGAATAATCGGCCGATTTTCGCTCTGTTAGTGGGTCAATGGCACCGGACAATTTTTGTGGTTCCTCCCCTTTTTGGTGATCGAGCATGTTGGAAAATTTGTGAAAAATGACCGATTTTGGACTCAGTGATGGTCAAATCTTATGATCATTTTTCTGAAAAGAATATGTGCATGAGCCGTGACCTGGAAGGAACAGAAGTTTCGCCTGTTATATGGGGTGAACTTTATGGCTTTCTTGGCCGATTTTCAAAATTATTGATGTCACCATCGGATTACCGAGCAACCGACGTTTTCGAGTTTTGGATGAAAAAGCATGTATTGCGTTTTTTACGTGTTTTTGATGCGTTTTTTGTGTTTTTAAATCTGCCTAGCAACAAGAAAAATAAAAAAATGAAAAGTAATCGCAAAATGTATCAAAAACTCGTCAAAAATGCAAAACGCAGTGCAGAAATGGCTCAAACGCAACCTGCATAGGTGTGAACCTAGCCTTAGGACAGACCATGTTCAAATCTACATAGAATTGATAATGAAGATCTGCCTGCATTGTATAGACAGTTAGTTATGCCAGCTGCCCAACCGTCATAAAAAAAATGAAAACTACCTGGGAGTTTTATTTGCTGGAGGATCCGGAATAGAGTATCTAAAAAAGGTAAACTGGTATGCTATGCAATTGGGTCCTGTTCTAACGATCGGGACCCGGGACTCTCGATTCCATGTCACATGATCGCTGTGATAGCCTCTGATTGGCTGTCACAGTGATCAGTCACTGTGCAGCCCGGCCCCCTTGTTTTTTTCTCTCTCTACGAATGGAGGAGAGAGATACATAAATAAATACATATTAAAAAATAAAGAAAAAATACCTAGATGAAGGCTTGATCTAGTTCGGGTGTCGGTAACCCGCGGCTCTTTCTCACCTTTGCTGCGGCTCCGGAGCACACTGCCCACCAGGTGACAGGCAATAGGGTTGCCGTAGCTCAGTGGTCGGCAAGCCGCGGCTCACGAGCCACATGCGGCCTCTTTACACATTTTAATGCGGCTCTTCTGTGTGCCAGGCGCCCACTCCCCTCCCTCCTCTCGGGCGGCCGCCCCAAAAGTCAGGACTCTGCAGCTAGCCCAGCAATGGGCAAACTACGGCCCGGCGGACCTTTTAATCCGGCCCGCGGAGCGTGGCAAACATTGGCTGTCAGGATGTAGGCGGGGCAGCATGACGAACTCCTCTCCTCTCACAGTCCGCCCTGAAGACCGTAACGGCGCGGGAACACGGCGAGAGGAACGCGCGGAGCAAAGGTAAGTGAATTGACACAATATGGGGAATGAATTACTATAGGGGGATGAATTACTATAGGAGGGATGAATTACTATATGATGGGGATGAATTACTATGGGGGATGAATTACTATGGGGGATGAATTACTATATGGGGGATGAATTACTATGGGGGATGAATTACTATGGGGGGATGAATTACTATATGGGGGATGAATTACTATATGGAATTACTATGGGGATGAATTACTATATGGGGGATGAATTACTATATGGGGGATGTATTTTCAGTTTTAAAAATGTGGCTCTCAAAATAAATTTCAATCGTGGTTTTGGCGAGATTTGGCTCAGTTGAAAAAAAAGGTTGCCCACCACTGCATTAAGGTAAGAAACAATATATGCAGTGTAGGATTTGTTTTAAATGTTGCAATGGTTTTGCGGCTCCCAGTCTTTTTTTCCCTTCGGAAACGGGTCCAAGTGGCTCTTTATGTCTTAAAGGTTGCAGACCCCTGATCTAGTTCAGTGCCAGGGTTAGTGTTTGGGTCAGGGTCAAAGGTCGTGGTCAAACGTCAGGATTTAAAAAACATTTGGTATCAGTGTCAGTTAGTGTCAGTGTGTTTTAGGTAAAAAAAAAGACAAAAAACAAAATGCGCATTATTGTTTCTGGGCTGTACTACGAGTACATACAACAAATAAAATACACATATATGGTATTGCTGCAATCGTCAAGAGCTGGAGAATTTATTTTGGGTTGTTCTTTGGTGGTAGGTTATGGTAATAACAAGAAACACACAGCTAAATAAAAAAATAATTTTTTTTTTTACAATTTTGGGCCAGTTTTCCTTTGATAATAATAAAAATCAAGAGATATCCATTACTATTTACCACCAAATGAATGCCCAATTTGTCCTGAAAAAAACAAGGTATTATTCACCTGGATGTACAAAGTAATTGTGATGATATGTACGGTTTTACTAACACATGTCAACGTTGTCAAATTGTGCTTAGGCATTTAGATTTGTTTTACCCTTGGGCGCAGGGGCGGACTGACCATTCGGGCACTCGGGCACTGCCCGAGGGCTCAGGGTCACTAGAGGGCCCCATGAGAGGCTCAGTCCATCCTCTGGATATGCCGCTGCTGAAAGGAGGAAAAAAAGAAGTGTTGCAACGGGGCAGTGCCGTGGCAGGCACTTTGAACACCTCTCCTCGGAGTTTCCACAGAGGGTCGGGTCCCACATTCCTGCTACAGGACGGGCGGCCAGAGAAGAGAGCGGAGTCATCGTTGTGCTGACCTGCCCTGTATCCTGCAGCAGGTCAGTGTGTAATCCCCCAACCCCCGCTGACACTGACAGCACTGCAGCTTAACCGTCTCCCGCCCACCATATAAGGAAATGACAGGCGGGCGGGTGGTTCTCTTGTTCTGGGAGGACATCACATGACGTCCTCCCACTCCAACGATCGGTGGGGCACTGTGTCCCTGGGACACAGCGGATCATTGATCAGCAGAAAGAGCCAAAGACGTTGGCTCGGTCATGTGATCAGCTGTGTCCAATCACCTGTCAGTATCCAGTAATGTCACCTGTCAGGGTTCGTCAATGCCACCTGTCGGTGCCAATCAATGCATATCAATGCCACATATCATTGCCAATCAATGCCACATATCAGTGCCAATCAATGCCACATATCAGTGCCCATCTGAGCTGCCTATCAGTGCTAGTTAGTGCCGCCTATGAGTGCTGCCTATCAGTGCCCGTCCGTGCCACCTAACAGTGCCAGTCAGTGCTGCCTATCAGTGCCGCCTATCAGTGCCATATATGAGTGCTGCCTTTCAGTGCCCATCAGTGATGTCTGTCAATGCCCATCAGTGCCACCTACCAGTGCGTCCTCATCAGTGCCCATCAGTGCCACCTATCAATGTCCATCAATGCCAGCTTATCAGTGCCCATCACTGCAGCCTCATTAGCGCACATTAGTGAAGGAGAAAAATTACTCATTTACAAAATTTTATAACAGAAACTAAAAAAAAAAAACTTTTTTTTTCAAAATTTTTAGTTTTTTTTTTTGGTTGTTTTTTAGTTTAGCAAAAAATAAAAACCCAGAGGGGATTAAATACCATCCAAAAAAGCTCTATCTGTCTCAAAAAAATGATAAAAATTTCATATGGGGACAGTGTTGCATGACCGCGCAATTGTCATTCAAAGTCTGACAGCGCTGAAAGCTTCCTGGGCAGGAAGGGGGTATAAGTGCCCAGTAGGCAAGGGGTTAATAGTCTTCTTTTCTATATTCCCTATATAAAACAGTGATATCTGTACAGATATCAGTGTTATATATAGGGAATAGCACACAATGTACAGATATCAGTGTTATATATAGGGAATAGCACACAATGTACAGATATCAGTGTTATATATAAGGAATAGCACTCAGTGTACAGATATCAGTGATATATACAGTGGCTTGAAAAAGTCTTCCTCGCGACTGAAATGTCCCCCATGTTGTCATGTTACAATGTATCCCCCCCCTGAAATGTCCCCCATGTTGTCATGTTACAATGTATTTATTGGGATTGGATGTGATAGAATGACACAAAGTGGCACATAATTGTGAAGTGGAAGGAAAATGAGAAATGGTTCCAACATTTGTGACCAATAAATTTGTGAAAAGTGTGGCGGCATTTGTAGTATTTGTAGTCAGTATTTTGTAGGACCCCCTTTGGCTGCAATTCCATCTGCAAGTCTTTTTGGGGACATCTCTCCCAGCTTTGCAAATCTACAGAGGGACATTTCTGCCCATTCTTCTTTGCAGAATCGCTCAAGGTCTGTTATTGGATGGAGAGCGTCTGTGAACAGCAATTTTCAGGTCTGGCCACAGATTCTCCATTGGATTTCGGTCTGGACTGTGACTGGGCCATTCTAACACATGAAGATGCTTTGTTTAGAAAGTTTGAAGACCCCAAATTTAGATCAAAGGGCCAGTTTACTGTCCTTCAGGTTTTTGGGGGCTGGACTGTGATCTTTGGGAAAAATTGTCCTGGCATGAGTTGGAGTAAACCATGTATCTTTAGTATTAGGGGGAGGAATAGCATCCCACCTTTGGTGTCAATGGGAGGAATAGCGCCCCATCGTTGGTATCAGTGGGAGGAAAAATGCCCCATCATTGGTATCAGTGGGATGAATAATGCCTTATTTATGTCAGTGAAAGGAATAATGTCCTATCATTGGTGTCAGTGGGAAGAATAGTGCCCTATCATTGGTGTCAGTGGGAGGAATAGTGCCCTATCATTGGTGTCAGTGGGAGGAATAGTGCCCTATCATTGGTGTCAGTGGGAGGAATAGGAAAAATTCATTAAAACCTTAATTTTGAAATCTACCATTGTTGCACTCTCTTTAAAGTTAAGTTTTTTTTTTTGTTTTTTTTTGTGT